CAATCACAGCCCTATGTCAGGTTTGGTAGCAGTTTCTTATTGAACCAATCTAACAGCAACCAATAATTCAATGAGAGAGTGAACTAAACCTCAGAACTCTGGGAGTTAATTAAAATTCTCATTGCAAATTTGGACAATTTCATCATTTTAGATCATTTCCTCTGGTTTCACTCTATCAGTTTGATTCCCCTGAAACCTGGATTTGCCTGTGTGGTATTACTCCTGATATAGACAATATTCTCAATGTACTCAGATTTTTTAATAAGAAAGGATCGACTTGTAATCCACTCTTCCACCAGCAAAATGCATGTCTGTTATTTGAAAGAGCCAGAGTGCCCTCATGTGGGAGAGGCCCTTAGCTGCAGATTGGCATGGCAAGATGTTTCACACACAATTTAAAGTATTAACATGTAGAGTCATGTTTCAGTGAGAGGCAGCATTCCCTACAAGCACTCCTTTGTGTATTTTGTATTTAAAAATTAATCAAGATTCATCAAAATTTGCATGTGAAAGAAGAATCCTGTTGGTAAATAAATTAATGAGAACAGTTTCAGTTGGCTCCTCTAGATGTCTCTCTTCACCTGAGTGGAGTAGACATATGGCAGCTCCAACAAGGTATGTGCAGTTACTGGACATCACTCTAAGTGAGAGAGAGAGGATCAAAGTGTGTGCAAGTGTGTTTTTAAAGGAGGATTGTACAGATGGCAGGGAGGGGTGCACGAGAACATGCATACAATAAAGGTTTGGATTAATTCTGTCATAAAATAACCTATACAAACACACTTGTCCAGATATTCACAAAAAAAGAAAGAAAGAACGAAACCAAAGCAAAAGACACAAACTCAATTGAACATGGAAATGCAGAAACAAAATGAATACAAATACAAAATGAAACAATATAAAACTATCTAAAATAGCATATAACACAAACTTGGTGTTACACATAAAACTAAAGCATGAAAGGATCAATTCACCAAAAAGGACTGATTTCGATGCCTGCTACAGTACACCTCTGCTACACAGACTTACATGAAAGTTTAAATTTAAGTAGATATTTTGAAGAATTTTGAATGAACTCTGACAATGGTCCTGAAAAGCGCTATAGAAATAAAATGTATTATTATTATTATTATTATTATTATCATTATCTTGTAAGTAGGTCAGCTGTTGCTTTAAAAGACCATGGGAATAGATCATAAATGTATAGTCAAGTCTTGAACGTATCATAGCCACATAACTAACATTTTCTTTCAGCAATAAGACTACCGGACAATTTTTTTTAACCAAAGGAAACCTTTAAGAGAAAAGTTATTTATATTCTAATATAATGAGTGAATGAATAGTTTGTTTACGCTGCTTGTCAAAAAGCACAATCTAACCTTACAAAATGACAGTCTCGCTCCCTCTTTTGCTCCCTCTCTCGGTGATAAGACAGAAAAGGAATGGGAAGGGGGGACGCACACTCGCCATGCATATCCCTCCGCCTCTAACTAGGACATGATAAAGGAGCTGTAATCAGGACCGAGAGATAGAATGGAGGGAGGAATTATATCCAGTTATAACTGATAGCCCTAATAATGTGGCTATTGCTCCATCTCCATTAAAAACAGGAGTGCCCAACGCAATATTTTCACAGCCTAGAGGACACTGACCAGAGAGAGAATAATGTGGTCAGAGGTCAACATTCATCAAGCAGATAAAACAGACAACTCTAAATGAATGTTCTCAATGACGAATCAGTGAGAGGAATGCCAGTTTACTATCAATCACACCACTAATTGTGTGCTATCTTGCCTTGGATCTCAACCCTTTACTCCGCTCAGCAATACTGGCACATTGTGTTGAGAAGACACAGGAAGATCTGCAGCGTCTTATCGCCTTTTGTTCTTCTCAGTTAAATATCCCTCCTCTGCTAGACTAGATCCCACCCTTTATCACCCTGTCCCCTGGGGTTTTCCCAATCAGAAACGTCGTTCTCTGAAGAAATGGAAGCACCCAGATCAGAGGAAATGGTGTTTTGTGTGCCAGGCTGCTGTTCTCTCGCTGCCGCTGACCCACTAACACAGCCAAGTCCGGCTCAGCCCAAGGCCCATACGGAAAGATACAGAGCCAGATAAACTATAGCACAGATACAGAACTGAGATAAACATCTGTCTGATCACACTTTTTACTTTTGACAGCAACATTTGCACAACGAAAACCACATACAAAAATAGAAGCAAATTAAAGCAACAACATTACAAAATTTACAAAAATGAACCCATAAATGCTCATAATTATGTCAGAACAAGAGCATTTTATGTGTTATAAAGATGTTCTTTCCGGAGTGTTGATTCTGATTTGAATTCCTAAAAAATCTGCTGTTTCCTCCCTTGCTCTAAAACAGGAAGTAGAACTGTGGTTGTCTTCCGCTCGTCTTGTTTAATGGAACCCCCCTTCCTGTTTTCAGATTCATCCTGATAATGGCTGACACACACACACATACACACACCCTGTCCTGTCCCTCTCCTTCTTTCTTTCTCTCTACGTCTCTCCCTCCCTCTCACTGCCTCTAAGATGGCTGCCTGATAAGTCATTTAGTGAGACCTTCCCATCACCAACAACGTTCAGGACCTTTCCACATGTTAACATTCCAGGTGTCCATGTGTGTGCCATGTGAGCTGGTACAAATGTGTGTGTGTGTGTCCATGTGTGTTAGAGCCCAAACTGATTGATTAGCTCAAAGTGATTACCGTTCAGATCAAAGTGTCTGTGAACTGCAAGGATGTGTGTGTGAGTATGTGTGTGTGTGTGTGTGTGTGTGTGTGTGTGTGTGTGTGTGTGTGCGTGTGTGTCTGTGTGTGTGTTTAAGGGATCGTGCCATGTGCAGCCAGGCCAGAAAAGTATGCAGGTCAGCGCAGAGGGAATGTCAGGAATGTCAGTGAAATTCAAACTCTCCTCTACCACTGGAGGCAACTAATACCTGAGCATATTTTATACCAAAAGTGGGCAGAAATGTTTCCGTGTGTGTGTGTGTGTGTGTGTGTGTGTGTGTGTGTGTGTGAGACAGTGTGTCAGCGCACTTTAACATGCCAGTGCATAAGGAGCCATAGTGTATTAGCGTATACATGCTCACAGCATCATCAGCATCTCCCTCTAGCCCCCTTAACTCAGCACTCTCCCCATCTAAGGCTATATTATATACTGTAATATAAGGAATATTACACAGCTACAATGTTCCCAAACAAACAAAATTTGACAGAATTCTCAGCTGTCCTCGCACGAGTTACACCTCCTGAATCCAGTTCCCAGGCTTTAGTAAGCCTTTCATTTGATATCACAACATATCTGCCCCCCTCTCACCCTCCCTCCCTGTCTGGCCAGCTTTTTCACAGCAGCCTGTTTTCACTCAGCTGCTTTGACAAAGACTGGTGAAATAATTACAGCTGGGCCTACACTCAGCAAGTGTTTGTCTCCAGTAATCTCCACCAAACCCACTAGCAGGGACTGTGTCATAGGAAGAGGAGGAAGAGGTCAATTGTTCTGAAAATGAGAAGCCAATGACATCATTTCAAAAGAGCTCTGTTCAGAGTGTTCAACACTCATGGTAAATAGGCAACAAAGTAAACTGGCTGTAATGTACACAGCTCACCAAATGTCAACAAAACTTATCATTTCAGACACAGGCACAGCTGGTAGAGAGTCTATAAATCTCTGATCTGTCTCCCTCCATTCATCGCTCTCTTTCTCTTTTCCACCCGTCATGCTTTCATGTCGTTCATACAAAAACGCTGTTTGGATGAATGTATTTACTAAAGATAAGAGGTTAGTTTTATGTCTGTACAGAAACGAAGCATTTGGCCTGCTTGAGCCAGGATGTCTTTCCTGACGGGAGGGGGCAACAGGAAGACTGCTTGGGGTTCTCAGGAAGTGAGCGAGTAAGGGGAGGGAGGGAAGAAGCGAGGGAATGGAAATGAAGGAGAGCAACAAACAAGTAAGTTAATGTAAAACTAGGAGGGAAAAAAGGAACAAAAATCAGAAATAGACAAACACTGTGTGTATATAAATAGAAATAGCCTACTGGGTCAACATATGAAGCCATGAACTAAAGCTGCCCCATCAGAGGAGAGGTCATTTGAAGATGAGGTTGCTGTAATTTATAGTGATAGTGATGCGTTATCGGGGAAGCGTAGCATGTAAATCATCATGTTGTTGCTACTACTACTACTACTACTGCTACTATGCCCTGAAGTACTTTAAAGCCGCTCCAGGGAGAGGAGAGCAACCAAGGGAAGCATGGACACACAGAGATATTTACATACACTCAGACAGACTTCCTGGCATTGTCAGCCTGAGAGCGTTGATGTCAGATCCACTCCTTCCTGTGCAGAAGGGAGAACGCCATACAATGACAATGGGCCCAAAACAGGACAAAGAGGAAATGTTTAAATTTAGGCCTCTTCTTCCACCATCTCCTTTTTGACGGCAATGGAGCTCTGGAGCTGTTTAGTTTTTGTGAATTCCTTCAGTTTTCCCCCTGAGATCCCTCTCCCCATTGTGTCATTTCAATGAAAGGATTTTCACATTCAACGCAAATCCCAAAGGAGGATCAGCCAGTGAGACCAGAGTTCAGTCAATCACTGATGTTCTAATTATATGTAGAAATTATATGTAGCCTAAGTGCTTCCTTATGAATCCATCTAACAATTGGGGGGGTGATAAAAATATATTTTGTAAGGGTTGTGGAATTTAGAATTTTAATGAACTGATGCTTAAATATAGGATTAAAATTACAGAAAGCATCCAACTGTGAATATGTAGCCTAAGATATAAATATATAACCTAACTTAGCTTTAACGTGATACTTTATACAACAATTAAAATTATTTCAGTGGATGTATCTGAGCATGTAGGTACGTGTCTGTGTGTGTGTGTGTGTGTGTGTGTGTGTGTGTGTGTGTGTGTGTGTGTGTGTGTGTGTGTGTGTGTGTGTGTGTGCTGGTCTGTCTGCGTGAGAGCTTTATCGCAAATCAGAGTGTCGGCGTCTGCAGGAGCTTACAGGGCAGGAGTTCACCGGTCTGTCGCTTACTCGGGGAGTTTTCTCTCAGTGGGATGATAGCGAACGAAGTTTTGAGGCGAAAACCAAACACATGAGATCTACGAAGGAGTCGCTGCCCGCAACATAACTTCAGCCTTACTCATGGATATAAATTAAGCCCGTAAAGTGGATACGTTTAGCTGGTGTTTAAGGCGGCGCTTTTATTGACTCTTGAGGACAGCAACGACGATGCCCTTTTAAACGGGAGAAGTTTTCTAGGGTAAGTTAACAACTTTCACCGCTACTTCTAAGTGACAAATAGAGATGAAGTTTATTTTTCGCGGGCATAACTTGCTATACAAGTTTAAGTGTAATGCGAACGGTTAATTCACAAACAGTCAATTTGAAGAGACGTTAAAGTTACTTAACTTAACGCTGAATTAAATTGCAACGCCAGTTCACAAACGCAATGGCTGAATGTTTAATGTCAATTTTGTTGACGCCATATTTTATAACAAGACATAACTTCCAGACGCCCAACCCAGATTTATCCTGTCACTGTTGGCTAAGTTACTGTGAGCTGTCAGTTTTAGATGGAAATCGACTTGCTAGTTACTTTAAGTTTAGTGAGTGTAAGGAAGCCAAAACCGTTTGTGCCATTATAACCACCGAGTGGCCTTTATTACAGATGAATCATATTAACGTCATCAAAATATCTGGATATTCATCAGTTAAGTAACGTTAAAGCATTTAAATGCTATAATAAGTAGGCCTACTTCCTAATAGCCGATGTGTGACTGGAGAGTATGCTTGTAAGCTGACATTTCTGGAACGATTGACTACTTTCTTTAGATAGTGTTCTTTAAAAGCTTATCAGTAAAACGCATACAAATTAAATTGTGGCATTCTGCGGAAAGGCCAGCTTAAAGTGAAACACATCTTTGGTGATGACCTCATGTAACAACAAAGATGTATGCTGGAGGCCCTAATTACACAAGAGGCATCCAGGATTATGAAATGGGGGCAATTAACATGTGGTAGTGAAGCACTTGCTGAGCATCTTCTTCCTCAGAAGGAGCTTATCTGAGCTGTGATGATGTCAGAGCAGGAGCAGGCCTGAAATAACCAGACATCTCTGTAGTGAGTGTTTCCATGACAACACAGCCTCCTGGTTTAAATGGTGGATGGGGACTGTGTCTCAAATAATTACTTTGGGTAATATGGACAGAATATAGAGGGGTGGGGGTGGGGGTGAGGTGACTGTTGACTCCTGGTACAAAAGCCCTTGTCTGAGAATCACAAAATGAGACCTCTAATGCTCTCCCTGTGTTTATTGTTTAAGTAGCAATAATCTATTATTTTTTTGTGTTTGGCCTCCTCTGTTGATGAAATACAGCTGATCCTCCTCTGAGAATGTTTAATATTAATAGCCTTAACAGGCATTAAGACAGAATAAGCATGATATGATGATATGAACAAAATAAAAATGTGGTGTTGTTCCTCCAGGTGTTCAAGAGAGAGAGAGAGAGAGAGAGAGAGAGAGAGGGAGAGAAGCCCCAGACATGATGTCCATTGGAGCTGATAGCTGACACTGTAGAATGAGAGAGGATGGAACAGACAGATAACCCTGCCCCTGAGAGCAACAACCCTAATGGGTTTGTCAACCGAGTGTTTAATGTTTCTCTGGATGTGGAGAATGAAACCAGCAGTGTTTATATTCAGGAGACTGGGCCAGGGTCTGCAGAGGGGCAGGGAGAGATCCAGGCTGCCTCTTCTCAGACCCCTGTCAAGGACAGACAGGAGGTCAACCGGAGGCCCCGTGCCACAGGGGGCATCTGGAAGATCTTGAACCGAAAGAGAGCTGTCTCAGAGCTGGAGCGCAGACCCCACTCCATGATCCTGCCCGGGGAGGCTTCCATCCCTAAACTCTCGTTTGCTGACAAGGTTCGCTCCTTCAAGAAGCTTAAATCCCCTTCTGTGTTTAGGGGGAAGACAGGGAAATTGTCTACTGCCAAGTTTGGCAGCACTTTGGTGGATGAGGAATCTTTCTGCCGAGAGATTGGCACTCCTCAGCAGTCCAGCAGGGGCACACTGAGACAACGTGGCAAGAGGCACTCGTATGCTGGCTACACAGCAGAATTTGACTGCTCGTTTGAAGACATTGACCTCACAGCTCCTACGGACAGCCAGCAGCCCACTGTAACGGGAGAGGCTGTGACTCAGAATGGTTGTAAACCATCAGAAAGAGTTTACTATACTAAAAGAAGCCACAACAATTCAAACAACTGTAACAAAACAGCTGCAGGTTGTGAAGAGCCTAGCATTAAAGATAGCCCAAGCACCCACCAGGGTAGAGGAAGGAGGCATAAAGATGTGTGGAGTTACCTGAGGAGGATTTCCCTTTTAGGAAAGGCCAATCCTGTCTACTCAGAGAGGAGCTTTGACTCTGAGCTTCCCTCGATGGACAAGACCATGGACTCAGACTATGGTTCTGTAGACTTTGAGAGTGTCAGAGACTTTCAGCCACCGCCCCCAAAACCCTCTGACAACAAGGGGCACTTTGGTGGTCTGTTCAAGTTTTTCAGCAGTGTAGCAGAGACAGCCAGAAAATGGCGGACAACATCACACTCCTTTTCTCCTCCAGAGGAAGAGAGGACTCCAATCAGCTCCCCTTGTACCACACAGCGCACAGTGGACAATATTCACAGTGTGTCCCTAACACTACACAGTGAAGGAGTTCCAAAATCCCAGCCTATTCCATCATCACCACTGACCGCTAAATCCTCACACTCCAGTAGCTTTGACAGCATGGCTCCAGCACCTGTGACAGGTGGAAGATCCCCTAAAGTGGTCCTGAAAGCCTTTAGGGCATGCCCAGGATCTCAAGCTGTCAATGGCTTTCAGAGTTCTGATGGCAGAGACAAACATATAGACAGAGACACAAACCACAGGTCCACAGCCTTAGTAGAGAATCATATTCCCCAGTCAGGTCCAAACACAGAGACTGAAAAAGAATCAGAGGTTGAAAGTGATCCATTAAACTGTCTCTGTCAAGAGGAAAAGGTAGAGGGACAGACAGGAAATGAGCAGGATTCCAGGGATGCTCCACCTGACTCCCACCAGATACAGGAAGTACATGTCCAATCACAACAAGGTGATAAAGAGAGCACAACCAATAGCGTACCAGCATCAGATTCCACAGAGGAAATATTTAAGGTATGTGACTTTAAATACAAAATGAGCTGTGTTAATTATCAGCCACTGAATTTTAATAAATGCCTTTGTTAAAGAAGCCAGTAATTTGTGTTGCTAAACTACCACTGCCATGTAGAATGTGTCTCACATTTTTACCATAACCAGATTCCATTGCAGGCTTTTTCCTCATCATTAACACACCCGAAGGCATGCATCATGTAATTACTGCATAAATGCTCAAAATATCATTTATATAACTGTCTTAACCATGGCCATTATCTTGCTTTGTCAACAACAAACTACCAGACATTACTCATTTTCTCATAATATAAGTCCTAGGTGTGGTTCATTAACTGTCAGGGTGAAACAAAAACATTCACCATACACCAACTTGTGAGGACATAAAAAGTGAGCATCTACTGTACAGTTGTCCTTTTGCCCCATCTGTTGGAGAGAGGAGGAAACAGTCAGTAATTACACTGGTGGACAACATCATTATATTTGAGAAGTTTGTCCTTTCCTGCTTCGCCACCCTTGTGTAGCATGCAAGGAAACCCTATTTCCCATGAAGCAGCATGTATCTGACTGCGGTAGCCCTAGAGCTGTGTGACGTCTGCGCTTCATGACGGCACCCTTCCCTTCTCACTCCAGTTGAAGCATTAGTCATCTCCCTTCTAGTCACACCAACGAGTCAGGACATGTTAGCACCAACTCCTAATGACAAAATGAGATGTGACATCTCAATACTCAGCACACTTTCATAAGGGTTTATTATGCAAGGGCGAGGGCTGTGGGAATCTGTGTTTTGAGAAGGGTGTTAATGTGCAGTCCTGCAATAATTCAGGAGAAATGATGGCACCAGGAAAATCCTCCTCTCTAATCAAACTGTTTACATATGAAATACACAACCTGTCTATTGTTTTTTTGTTTTCTCTTCTGAAATTTTACCTGCCATTATGGAGCAGTCTTGACATTAGCTTCTGATGCACTGTAATTAGGAACATGAGCTCATGGCTAGTATAATCTTTTGAAATGAAATATGAGGTATATTTTGTTGAATATATATAGAAATTCCTCCCAATTCCCCACACAAGAAATGCATTGTTGCACCTTTATCTGGGCCAAACTGCTGAGTATCTGTGCCAATCACAGCTGTGTAAGCAGATTGCCACCCAGACAGGCTGCAGTGTAAGACAGCTGTGCCCAGCCATGCCCCACTCTAGCACAGAGAAGACCTCTGTGCATCACAAGCCCCAGCGCCCTCGTCCTCGCCCGGCCTCAGCTGTACTGGACCTGTGGAGGCCCACCCCAGACCGAGATCTCTACAGCCATTATAGTGAGGTTGGCTCACTGTGCCGGCGGAGACGCAGGCCTGCTCCCACCATGCAACACTCTCCGGGGCAGAGACGGATGGCTGCTCGCTCCAGGCCTTGCTCTGTCATAGAGACCAGTGTTACTAAGGAGACGCAGTCCACGGTGCTGCACCACAGAGTAAGATGTCAAACAACAAACACAGGCATTCATGCATAATTTCACAAAATTAAACATACAAATATTGACAGAAAAGTGACAAATACGTGGTCCCATAAATATCCAAAAACACATTTAGACTGAGAAAATGTATGTTTATGGAGTAGACATAAATATATCCCATCCTGATGTTGAAAATATGAAAGTAGGAGCGCAGAGTCTCACTAGTAGTCTCCACCAACTCACCGATAAATATAGCCCAAGCCCATAATGAATCAAACACACACTACAGACTTTGAAGGGCAGCCCAGGACTAACCCAGTATTTATACACCACTCACTGTTTGCTGCAACAATGCATGCATGCTCTGCCCCATTTATAGAGGCCTGTATTTCTGGATACTCGTTTTCCCTCAGCTCACCTCCCCCTCTCCCACTCTTTTTCTTTTCCTCTTGCTCACCCTTTCTTTCTCTTTCATTCTTTGTGGCTTCTCTTTCTCTCTCCCTCACTCTCAGTCTTTCTCTGTGGCCAATTTTCTGCCTCATCGCTCCCATAAGCTCTACCTCTCATTGCCCTAACTCAGAGTCAGTTCATTTTAACCTTAGAGACCGCCCGGTTGGCATGATGTATAGTCTCTCATGGTTTGCTGCAGGGCATGCACACCGACCAATGCACCAGAATAGACTTGCTGAATGTGAAATACTTTAATTCACTGCAAAAAAAGGGGACAAGGCAGTAAGGAAGTTTTTTTAACGCGAAGGGCAGGGGAATGTGTGCATTCAACCTTGTGTGTGTGAGTGTGTGCATCGAAGTAACTGTAATATAGGAGATGCCCTAACCACTCAGTACCCTCTAGGCCTTGTCTCGCCCCTCGGGTGTGTCACCGTTAGAGCCCCCACTCAGGGCGTCTCTCCAGCGGTGCCGCTCCCTGCCACTACCCCCCAGCACTCTCACTGCCTTGGCGCTGCTCCTTCCTCAGTCAGGTACCGTATTTTTATTTTATTGATTGATTGATTGATGTGTGTTTGTTAAATTGATCGTCTGTCTGCATGTGTCTGAATCCCAGACATGGGTCAGTCGTCATCGTCGGTGCGTCTGCGGTCTGGAGGCTCTGGTAGCTGCAGGAGGAGGAGGCTGCTAAGACCTGGTTCAGAACCACTACAGGTCAACATTGTGAGTCGAACACACGCCTGCCCTCATAAACACACACACACATACACACACACACTATATATATGAATGCCTACAAACAAACACACACGTCACACTGAGTTTATTCACCTGATGCATAGATGAGCAGATGTGGATGAGATAATAGGATGTATGATAGAGTAGGAGAATGACTGATAAATAACATCTCAGTGTTACTGGTAATATGGGTAATACAGAGATGACCGAGCACTGGTCAGTGTTTCATCCGATATTGACATGAGCTGATCCGTGAAGATGGTGGCCATGAGAATTAATGTCATCCAGTACTCTTAGGCCATTACTCATGCCTGAGGTGGGCGCCTGACATTTCAGATGTTTTTTAATGTGACAAGAGCGCATGCAGACAAACAAACTGAATTTCACAGCAGAATGGGGGATGTTTTCATATACCTGGTGTGCAGAAATCTGTGAGAAGTGTAACGTGTCTTTGTCAGTTGTGTAAAATTAGCTTCAGAGTACGTTGGAGTAATACTACTCAGGAAGTGAAGCCAGGCATTTCAGAATCGCTGCTTTGATGTGCAAGTGGCCTCAGGGGGATTCTAGTGGAAGGAGATGCAGAGTTTCTCTGAAACATCCTGACGGGGTAGTGAACATTTCTGTGGCTGTGTCCAACATCTACACCTACAGAAGTGCAATGCATAAGGCTTAACCCTTTTTACATTAATATTAGCATTTAGCAGAAGTATTTTCACATAGAAATATATAAGACGTATTACATATGTCCAATGTAATCTGAGAATGAGTGTGCACAGTGTTATAATACTTTGAGGATAGAGCTCACATTTTCTAAACTATTTACATGGAGTCGGTGAGGATTAACCAAAACATTTGTAGTACAATAAGTAGTCCATTTTCCTGAGAGATTCTGGATACTCAATTGCTGAATTATGAGCCCCGGGCTTTCAGTCCTGGCACGTCTTTGCATTGAAATGTACTAAACTGTGTCTCTGAAGAGGTGATACATCTGCATTTAGGCTTTGATTATAACTTTTTCTTGCTGGTCTAAATAGTGTTTGTGAGCCACTGCACGTTGTTGCCATGACACTCGCTGGCTCCTGTTCATCTTCTTGTTTCTATCTTTAGGCAGCCTTTTTAAGTGTGAGCTAAATGGAGAAAGTGTGTGGGTGAGAGAGAGAAAAAAGGGTGGGAGAGAAACAGAGAGGGGAAGAGAGATGCTCCCTTTGTATATGCACTTTTGTGTCATGCCCCTCCCCTGGGGTAGGGGACGTGGACTCATAACACTGGAAATGCCTTGTGTGTGTTTGAATGGACAGGGATGTTGATTTGTAGCGCACTCAAATGCTGGGATTTGTGATTTATGAGCATGGGGGTAGCACATATTTATATATACTGTATATGCACAGTATGACATAACATGGTAATGCAGCTGTAGTGCAGTCACATGGATGGATAATGCTTCAATATTAAGTCTGTGTGCCGCTGTCTTATTTCTGGTAAGTCATGCATTGTTTATTTGGTGTGGATCTCATGTCAGGATCAGATCTGTTGTTTGTGATACAGTGCAGTGTATGTTACAGTCTTCCTGTTAGGATGGCTACTGGAGCCTAGGGGCCGCAGGCAGAGAGAAAGCATTCTCACTGCAGTGGATTAACTGCTAATGCTGACGCCTCTCTTCTCTCTTTCATTTAAATGGATTTCTCCCCCAGTCACTGCCCTCTCCTCTCCTCTCCTCTCCTCTCCTCTCCTCTCCTCTCCTCTCCTCTCCTCTCCTCTCCTCTCCTCTCCTCTCCTCTCCTCTCCTCTCCTCTCCTCTCCTCTCCTCTCCTCTCCTCTCCTCTCTTCTCCTCTCCTCTCCTCTCCTCTCCTAACAAACACTTAGCAATAGCAGTCTTTGTTAATTCCTATGCAGATGAGGGGACAGTTTCCTGTGTTACTAATGCTGTGCCCGAAGCTCTGCTGTCAACTTGTCAGAAAGGGGGACAGTCTCATTAAGGGCTTCATGCGGATTAAGAGTTTCAACAGAAATCTTAAGTTTGGGCTAACCAGGTCTGTCTGGTCGTAATCATATTATGCAATGCTATCTATTTATTATGGACGCATGAGTCAGCAGGCAGTGGCTAGTTGGGAAAATAGTAGGGCAGTGATGAAAAAGGAGAAATCTGAGTTGAGCAACTACTTATGCACACACTTTTATACCCATGCGGGGAGCACCAGTGCTCATATGTTTGCTAAATGCAGTTGCTAAAACACTAAACCCCATTCTCTAAACCAAATGCTCAGTGGCCTAAATCCATTTGTTCAATCAGTCACTCTTTTGGCAAAACCTTAAACAAGTTCAGGTCGTTAAGACACTCTTTAAAAATCTCATCCACTTTTTTTGCAAAACTCTAAACACATTCTCACTCACTAAAACACGTTTTGCACTGTGATGCACTTGTGTTGCAAAAACGGTAAATACACACAACAAAAGTTAAACACAACTACAACACAGCTGTCATCTTTTACACACAACAACTCATATATCTGCACACTTGTTTCTAATCATGCGATCACACCAAAATGTGGTCAACTCTGGCCAGCGTAGTGGCAATGTCATACTTCCTGTCTGTGGGACAATGTCAGTTTTCACTGTGGTGTGCCACTAAGCAAGTGGTTCAACATCAACCAGCAACCAGTGACTCATAAATGTTTCCTTCATGCAGCCCTTACCTCAATCCAATAAAGGAATTTTTCTCTGCCTGGTACTTACAGGCAATGGAATTGGCCTGTGGTGAGATAGGTGTGGAGTGTTGTTGCAGTAAGGTGGCACACCTTCCTCCTTTGCTTGGCAAGGGAAAAGGTTGCATGTGATGTGGATGAAGTCCTCTGGCCAGACCCAGCACAAATACGTGATACTAAGGCAGAACCAGTCTCTCATTGACTTTGATTTTGCGGCTGCACAACATTTTTGAGTGTGATAGGCTTTTTATTTAGAGTATTCTCTGTTCTTTGGGCTTACAGTACTGTATTTTTATGCAAGTGCTGAATATACAGATATTCAATACTGTATTACTTACAGTACTTGCTTTTTTTGAATTGGAAAATGTGTTTCCTATATGCAAAAAAAAATCTGTAACTACATGCCCTGGACGCTGTCTTTTTTTATGTAGTATCTAAAGAATGCTCTGTAGTGTTTTACATATTGACTGGCTGTATTTTGAGGCGATTGTTTGATTTTGAGTCAGGGGTTTTGTGAATGTAATTTAAAGACTAGGTTGTGTTTTTCAAGTTTCGAGAAAAATTATGAAGGTTTCAAGAAATGTGTCTTAGCAATTGTGAAAAACTGTTATTTAACTACATACACATAGATGCCTCTTTGTAGCTCAGCCACTGTGCTTCACCCCACACACACACATACACAGTCTTCCCATGCTCTTCCTGATGTACTTTGAATTCATCTGTCAATGAGTCATGAGTCATTGCGTTGATGACCTCATTATTTGGTGAGGAATGAAAAGCACTGGCTAGTGATATCGCTGTCAAACAAACTGTGAATGTGTGGCATTTGTTTCACCCCGGGCTTTATTTTAGACCCCCATGAGACGGACCATTGGAATAGTCTTCCTCAAAATAACTGCATGTATGTACAGTCCACACTCTGGGCCACAGGCGACCCAGAATCCTTTATCACTGTTCATTCAACATTGTTCCCCTGCCAAGGTACAGGCACGTATCCGCTGTGACTAACTGTAGCCACCAGGTAATACTGTTTTGTAGGATGCAGCGGGTTCTGATAAATAGTAGTGCCGCTGACTGAATTTGAGCAGGTGGTTGTGTCAGAGCCTCCCTAGGCTGTTTCTTCCAAAGAATGGGTTTCTGCCTGTCAGGTGTGTGTTGTTGTTGTTGTTGTATGCATAGGCGTGCAACTCCATACTTGGGTGGTGTGTGTGTTAGGGAGAGAGACAGATAGGCTGAGGGCCTTTTCTCTTATATAACTGTTGAGAGGGTTTCCTTTGCTCCCTATAAAAGCCGTTTCCACTTTTATTTCAGATGGCTGCATGTTCTCGGGGACTGGAGGAACAGTGCTGTCTGTTAATTCTCTTATTCACTGGTGTATGCTGTTTTACAGTATCTCCGCATAATACTCTTTTTTTGAGATTTTGTCAGATCATGCATGCCTGTGCACGTACAGATTTGTGCTTGTGCTTTCTTGGAACACATTCTGTTATATACCTTATCAGGACAAGTATTTCCATCCTTCCATCATCATACCAACTTTATGCTGCTGCCCCTGTAGGACAGTGGGGAGATACTGGTGATGATTTCAGTAATGTCACAACATGCAGTGATCTTTGTAATGAGACTATTTAAGGCCCAAGGCACTCAGGCGCTTGTTATCTAACATCAGTTGTATCATTTGTGATAGCTTTTCCAGGCTGTTTAGGTGATTTTACTCACAGTCAACAGCTTCTACTGTTTGTATAATGCAGTATTCATGGCTGTTTGACAGGTTTTTCTGGTCTTTTAGTCAACACAGAAGAATGTCACCTTGTAACGTGAAGATCCCTCATTATCTGACAGCACCATCTTAGAGCAGACCCCAATTTTTATGCATGTATTAATTCCACTGATAGCTTTCACTCTAGCCATTCCCCTTTCTTTTAACAGCTTTGATTTTTTGCCCGACTATAATACAGTAATAACCTAGAATTGTATATTTCCATATCTCATTACAATCTCATTACTCCTTACACCTCTCTATGGTACATTGCATTGTAGAGAGGAGGTTGCTTGGCCCAGGCCCTGCCACTGTTTGGTGGCACCTGGAAGTTGCTCAACATCTTCCCATATTCTTTATATATGTTTCCCACTCTGTTGAGGCAAATTTGCATCTTGGGGCTATATTGATTGACTTGACTTGATATTTGTACAAACAACTAAATATATATTTTAACTAAACAAATAACTAAATAATTCTATCTTCAGGTGAGAAAGTTGATATTTTACCAAGCACAAAATAC